ATCACATATCTTGAGAAGATATCGTGTTCTCTTAATTAAAAGAAGTAACTGAGAAATCCAATAAAGACGAAAGTGTTCGTTGTTTTGAGATACGATCTCGACGGTACTAGCATCCCGTCTTAATCCAGTTTGTGTGCGTGTGGATACCAGTAGAGGCACGACATTTGGAGTGCTTGAAATCTCGACTTGGTGTATTCATTTTTCCGCTGCGAATAACCAGGTATATTCGAAATCCTAAAGATCTAGATTTATTTCAGTATTAACATGAGATTCTAGACATATGAATTCATAGGTTGATTTATAAACTGTTATAAATCGGTATGAATTTCCAACACTTAGAACGATTTAAAAAATGTTTAGAAAAAATTACTTGGTTTATAACCGATTAACAGTTTAGAAAGATATATATATGCGCTTTATACCAATTTTTTGAACACTGGATGAAATACAATGTCTCTTCTCTCACAAATCCATGCTTAAAAATCACTTATTCTCTTATCTCGTTTAATAGTCCATACTCTATTCAGAATAGCAAATCATTTTGATGCAATGGCTAGTTGCTAGACATTAAATAAAACATGTTGAATACTACGAGCTAGAAAGATATAAAATACACATAAGATAAACATGTTGATTTATTGTATAAAATCAATAATTATTCGACCAACAATGTCTAAGAACACAACCCATAATATCTCAAAGACCAAGCGAGAAAGGGAACCCGGTTGAGGATAACCAGCCACCACCACCAATAAACTGACCAGCCGTATATGGCTGAGCTTCAGCAGCAGCAGTAATCACCTTAAACCCCTTCCACTTCACTCTATTTGCAGTTCCAGCCCCTGCTCCTTTGTTCGCATACTCTCTATAAGTCAAAGTGTTCAACGCAAACGATCCGGTCCACTCGGACCACCCTTCGGGTCGGATCACATCTGAGATATCCGACTGCATTATCACCGTCTGCGAGTACTCTTTCCACGGCCGACCAAGATACGTTGGGAAACTACTTTTCACGGACTGTAAATCCGACGTGGCACCAATCCTACATTTTTGGATAACTATCCCAGTGTTCTGGTTAGGGTCTGTCCGTCCTTGTGCCGTGACCATGTTTTTCTGGCCAGAGTTTGGTCGGCGAGCGTGGATGTCGCAGTCTTGAAGAACAACGGCGGCGTTTCCGAAGATGAAGTCGACGGTTCCGGCGATGAGGCACTTGACAAAGAACTGACGGTTGGAGTGGACGTAGAGAGTGTCTTGGTACGCTAACATGTCGCATTGGTAGAACGCTGAGAAGTCAGAACCGACACGGAGAGCCACTGCTTGGTGCTTTGACGGACCCGCTGTGTTCTGGAAAGTGATGTCACGCGCTAGGAATCTCTCGCCGACAGCAGCTGTGGTCCCCATAGAAGAAAACATCCATTAGTTCAACGGTAATAAAACATACTTGTTTTGCTGGAATCTCACTATTTTATATAAATAAAATATTTTTTGACGTGGAAAAATGAAATGCAAATTTTGAAATATGATGATAACAAAGTGTACTGTAATAAAGTGATGCAGCAAATTTAAGAGTGGGGAGAAAAGTCAACAACAATGAAACAAGAACAAGAAAACAAAAGATAAGAAAGAAAAAAGGTGACAGAACTAAAGGCTCTCTTCAGAAGTGGATGAGCCATAAACCCAATCTATCCACAATTAAGTGACCTGGAAAAGTATGTGGATAGAGCCAAGAAAATGATGGATGGAGGCTAGCACATGACTAAAATGCTACAAGGCTTTTTGTTCAGTTATGGTAATTCAAACTAAAATTTAATTTCATCTCGTTACTAGGCTACATGTGCGTGCGAATCATCTATTGTAGTTGGGTGGTACTAAGACTAAGAATCTGCATGTGTATAATTAATGTACACGAAAAGAGTAAAGATTTTCCACCACAAAGGAGGGCCACATCGTGCAAAACTTTATTCCTTAAGAAAAGAAAAATAATAATAACTAAAATTGCTTACCAACGGTGGCGGAGTGAAACGTAGTGCTACCGTCGACAACGTTTCTACTTGCGGTAATAATAGTTCTTGTCCGACCATCTCCCATAAACATTATGTTCTTTTTCTTCTTGGCCACTTCCACATTCTCTCTATAAACTCCTGCTTTTATATGTATTACATACCTCTTGTTACTATTCTCCGGGGCCGCCGCAACCGCAGCCGAGATAGTCTTGAATGTCCCGCTACCGTCAGCCGCAACGGTGGCATCGGCTTTCACCGTAGACCCTTGAAGAAGCCTCCTATCTCCCGCAGATAACCAAGATGGCCACCCATCAGCACCTAACTCTCCGGCGCCGGCAATATCTACGGCCACATTAGTCTCCTCCTCCTTGAGTTTACGGTTGTTTGAGGTGAGTTTAGCTTTCAGCTCGAAATTGGCTATGTCGGTATCAGTCATGTTCTTGATCATTGCTAGTGCGTTGCTGCACATGTGCTCTACGTGTATCTACACAGAATCATTACGTTATAAAGCTATGTTTTAAAAAAATTCTTGTTATCAGCAAGTTTATGTAATTAAATGTATACGCTAAATAATACCAACTGATAGCAACTATTCTTACATATAGACCAACACTAGCTAACAGCATTTCACTTTCATTGTAAGAATAAATAAAAACAAAGCTAAATTTGTCAAAGTGATGTGATAGTTTTCTTGTTACCCAAGATGAAATATCAGAATAGTGATGTTATGTTGATCCATTTCAGATTCCATAAATTTAGTGAACCAAAACACATGCATTTGCCGTCATTTACATTTTTTTATTAAATCATTTTTTCACATATTCATATTTTATGAAATTCAACATGAGCCACAATGGGTAAAGATTTGTATGTTTTTACGTACCTGACCCTTCAACAAGGCCTTACGAACTTTCTTGTCGGCGTCATCATGAGAGAACCCATCGAGACAAGTCTCCTGGTTTGTAATGGCAGAGCTAATTAGGGTTTTGAGGTCACCGGCGTTTTCCCGGAGAGACTTCTTGTTAGGATACATATGGAGATCTTCCAACGCCTCGTGAAGCTCATCTAGCGTCTCATCAATAGTCTCCAAACAGTCATGAAGCGCCGTCTTCTCGCGAGGAGTTAGTCCTTTCCTATTCTTGATCAGTTTCTTGACGCCGAAGTAATTGTGTTCCACGGCGATTGTTGTTAGGTTAAGCGAAGCCTCAATGACGTCTTTCTGCGACGTGAGTTTGACACCACCGGAGGTGGTCACAGCCGAGATGCATAGCTCAGGGTAAAGCGTGGGGCTGCATGCGGATCTCAGCACGGCGTGAGAAGACGGTGATAGAGTTCGTTTTTCGTTGGCTTTTGAAGCTCCGGCGGCTATTCCGGCGACGGCAGCCACTAGGAGTAAGGATACGGCGGTAGATAGTAAAACAAGTTTCTTATTTTTCTTGAAATTATCTTTGGAGAAGATTTGTTTGATAGATGGTGCCATATTTTTTTTGGACACTGATGAGTGAGTGGTGAATGTGCTCCTGAAGAGTTGGTGTTTATATTGATGAGATTAAAATCATGCACGATATTTTTTATATGACTTTTCGTTTCCTCTTTCCTTTTACTTTTCTTGACTCTATTATTTGAGTGGGAGTCTCAATAAACAAAAAGACACAGACACATGTTATAAGCCGCCTCGCTAATAGAAGATAAGATTTGTGTTTTAAAAACGAATATTATTTCGATTATTCGAGTTCCACAGAGTACTATTGTCGTGTTCCCAAATTGGTGTTCGTGTAAGTGAAGACAAGTCTTAACAGTAATAACATTCCTTGTCATACTAACCGAGTTACTACTTTACCTAGTGATTATCTCAACCCACTTCGTTTATTCTTTACACCTTAAGGTCATTAACTAATCAGTGACAACAAAAAAAGATCATTAACTAATCAGTAACCCAAATAACTACATATAGTGGTTTGAAATTAATGTTTTAGATATTTTCTTGACTTTACAAAACAAGATATTTGAATGCCGCTTGATTGTCTTACATAATCAGCCGCTTTGCAGAAAAAAAAAATCATCTTGTATTTGATTAAAACATGTAGCGGTAGTTTGTACTGATAATGTTGCTGTGTTAAATAATTCATCTTTGTATTTTAGCGTAGTAGTATATTGCCCTTATATTGAAAAAAATAATTAGATGATTTACAAATGAAAAAAATCTCACTCTTATTTAAACAGAGACCTTAATTATAGAGAACAAAATCTCACTCTTCTAATCTAATGAGAAATATTGTAAATAACAAATCACATTACTATGTTTATCAATGAAGACGGCTTTGTAGGGATATAAAATGGAAGAATTATTGAGGTTTATTTTTAGTAATAAATTTCAATGGCAATCATTTAGAGTTTATCTTTAAATAATCGCAAAAAAAAAAAAAATTATCGCAAACTGTCCATTACCTTTCTATATATCCATACAGTACGTGAAACAGCCCAAACGCATAAAGAAAAAGTTAACAAAATAAACTAGTTAATGTATTGTTGATGAAAAAAAAAATCTAGTTAATGTATTGTATTAACGTTTATGATTTTGTCTATATAAATAATTAAATAACTGGGCCGTGATAAGCGGCACCGAATAAATCGATGAAATAATAATAAAAAGTATTTAGGCTAATGCCTGTGGAGCTGTAATAGGCTGCTGCAAGCCTGTCCTGGGTCCATTTACCATCTTTAAAACCAAAATATTCCACTAATTTGATTACAGTATATTTTAAAATACACTTTCTCGGATCGTATAACGCAAATGATAGCTTTGTGGTCATAACTTTTTATTTCTATAATAAGAGGAAAAAATATATAAGAAGATATATTACTGTCGGTCCGAGTTATATAGCAACTACTGTATATAATTCGATTGCTTTAGATCCCCTAAACTAACAGAACCCACACCCAATCCACCAAAATCTTTATGCTCTTTCTGGAACCCCCTAAACATACTTGATAAATCAATTAGACCATAATTAAACTCAATCTCTTAACTAAAATTTTTAACTTTGGCTAAGAGAGGATTTTTTTGTTATTCTCTATATATATTTTAACGAAGAAAAACTAAATATCAAATCATAAATTAAGAATTTCGGCTAAGAGACCGGGATTAATTATCTTTTTATCCACATAAACTTATTTTTTTACATAATCATAAACTTATTTTTCTACCCAAGAACAACCTATAAAATGAAAAACTGGACTCAGAAATGAATGGTGAAATGTAGAAATGGTATATGATTGACGTCAAAAAAGATATGGTATAGACCTGCTCTTTTTAATCGAGCTGTTTACCATACTCATATAACAAAGAGATAATTGGTTAAAGTGCCCTATTTGACACCTTTAATTAGAGAATTGCCTATGATGTGACAATTACTTTCCTTTGGACCATTTTGCCCTTTTCTACATTCTCTCTCCTCTCTTTGACATCTTCCCTCTTTTTTTTTCTCTTTAATCCCTAATTATTTTACAAATCTCTATCATTCTATATACAATTAAATTTTAAATTTCATTATTTTTTTAATAAGTGGCTTTGAATCCTCAATTTTGATCCTTTTTTTTCTCTCCAATCCCTAATTATTTTACAAATCTCTATCATTCTATATACAATTAAATTTTAAATTTCATTATTTTTTTCATAAGTGGCTTTGAATCCTCAATTTTTTGATGATATCAATTTTCTGCGTTTTAGATTTGACGTCGTGTTAGCGGTTAACAAATATTGTAGACGTTAACAGAAGTGTTAGGTGTTAACAATTATTTTTACGCTTCGCGTTAATAAATGTGTTTGCTGTTAACAAATATTGTAGACGTTAACAGAAGTGTTAACTGTTAACAATTATTTTTACGCTTCGCGGTAATAAATGTGTTGGCTGTTAACAAATATTGTAGACGTTAACAGAAGTGTTATATGTTAACAAATGTTTTTACGCTTCGTGTTAATGAGAGGAAAGAGAAAAGGCATTCTCGGCATTTCTTTGCCAAATGGTTGTGTCAGTGTCCTTCATGTCCAATCAATGATATTTTGCTAATTTAAGCTTCAAATATGGATAATTCACTAAATGACTCTATTTCAAAAAGGCTTGGTTTGTATTTCGAACCGTTATGATAGCCTTGACAAAAGTTTTTTGGTACGAAGCTTTGACAAAAGTTACTATAGATAATAATAGATGACACATCCAAAGTGCAGTTTTATAATTTGACAAATCTTATATGGGTGTTCTTCTTAGGCCTCGATTGATACATCAAATGATAAAGTAATAACAGTATGTTGCAGAAGCATTATGCTGCAGAAGTTATATGGTTTCATTAAAGTTTTTAATAAAATGATTGGCAAAGCATTAGTAGTATACAATTTTAAAATTGTTATAATAGTTTCTAAAATAATATATTTCTTTTAAAATAATATATATATATATAATATATATTTTTCTTAAAAATATTGAATTTTATTCATTATATAAATTATATTTAAAAATGTAAATTTATTTTATAAATATTAAATTATTTTTGGATATTAACATATATTAATATTATTAAATAAATAAATTAATTAATTATAATTTATATATAAATTATAATTAATTTATATATAAATTATTATTATTTATTTATTGGTAAAGCACTAAATGACTCATATATAAAATTATCATAAAAGTTAATATATAATTTATTTATTAGTGTCTAAATAATATTTTTATATCCATAATATATAAATTATATTATTTTATGTTTGTTATTAAAAATAATGAATGATATATGTAATTATATAGGTTATATTATATTTTAAATATGAAATATTATTCTTTTAAAAAAATTATAATTTTATTCTTATTTTTAAAAAATATAAATTTATATTTAATTATAAATATTGTTTATATTATCAAACAAAAATAAATTACTTATATGTAAATATTATTAAATTTTATATTTTCTATATATGTAAATGCTCTCCCAAAAGCTTTATATGAGAGCATTGAGCAAATAGCATTTGAAGGACATTTGCATTTGGTAAATGTTTTTCTAAATGCTTCTTTATCAAATATTGATTGGATAATAGATAGTATAATGCTTATGCTAATACTTTACCGATCAACCTTCAATCTCTTATGTAAAAGCACATAACGTGTTTTGACTAATCTTATACCACAATTCATTTGACTAATCTTATACCACAATTCATTTTACACGTATTTTCGTGTATTATTATTTCCAGTTCAGGTTTAGTAGTTAAGAGAATTAATTATTTGCATTACTAAATACTAAAAAGCTGGCACCGTTGTACATCACAATTATCATGTACATCTATTCTTTCATTTTCTTTATTCTCGCCAACTTTTCGTTTCCTCTATTTTAATAAAAAGGTATTGTTAGAAGAATCATGTAAATCGTGATTTAATTTACCATTAATTGTTTGTGTGTGGGGAGGTTATGATTTCTTTTATAACACTGAGTAATGAACAAAGTTTGAGACAAATAAATGTGAAAGACTAAAAACTAGGAAAATGAGATGTCAGTAGACACCATCATAACAACAAAAGAAAATAAGCAGGATAAACCAACACCCTTATTCATTTAGCCTCCAAAACTAGAAGGTAAAATAGCCACGATGGAGCATTCCGAGCGATGTACGACTGTGTGGGAAGGTTATGATACTAAAAAGAAAAATAAACAAACAACTTGCCATTGCTCTCAGTGTCACTCGAGATAGGCGTCATCAGTCTTATATTGCTCGGAATGCTCCATCGTGGCTACATCACTTACTCGTTTTGGAGGCTAAATAAGTAAGGGGGTGAGTAATTCATGTTTCTTTCTTACTTGTTGTTATGATGGTGTCTACTGACATCTCATTTTCTTGTTATTTGTTTTTTCATTCTTGTATTTCCTCGAACATCGTTTATTAATCAGTGTTATAAAAAAAAAAACAAACAACTTGCACACTTCTTTCCTACAACAATTTGCAGATACAATCATACAGAGCATCCGATGTAGCGTCCAACTTGTATAATAAACGAATATCTTAGTTGTATAACTTGTATTCTCGTATGATTTGTTTAGAAAAAAGTAATAGTATAATCCTGTACAGTGTTTTGATATCCGATCGGATCCGCAGTTGAACTGATATCCCTGTAATCTCGAAAAAAATCTAGTTTGAGTTTTGTGAAAAAAATCAAACTGGAAAAACCCATAACTACCCGCGAAAATCTACTAAAACCCAAAACTCGATATCGGTTAAACCATCGGTTGAACTAATAGATAATTTTTACTTTTTTTTTTAGTTTTTAATTATGTTTTAGATTTTGTTTTATATTCTAAATTTCCAATTAAAAACTTAAATTTTCAGTTTTTAATTATATTTGTAATTTTTAGATTTTGATAAAAATTTCTCTATGACTCTTGGAAAAAATGAAGTGAACAATCATAAAGAAAACCAAAAATAGTTAAATGTGATTTGGTGTTAGTTTATTTTTGTTATTGAAAATTTATTACAATGATGTTTTGTTTTTTTATTCTGAAGTTTAATTTATTATTCACATTAGACATTTAAATATTTATGAATTATATATCTTGATTTTTTTTAGATGTCATAACTCTTAACTTGTTAAATAGTTTAAATTAGTTTTGATATTTTGTAGGTCAAATGACAATAAAAAAATATATATATATATCCAAACTATTATTTTATGCTTTAATAAACATTAGAAAATATTAAACTTTAATTTTTTTTATTTTTACTTTCCTAGCTAATATTTTATTATATAATCAAATTAATTCATTTATTAACATAATTTATTTGCGATTGATCGAATGATCCAATAACCTGATAAGTCGTTTAATTCAGTGTTCGGGTTGGATTTAAAAACATTGATCATATATATCTTGATAAAATCGTAACTGTATGAATAATGAATAAACAAACGTAATAATCGTAGTTATGTATATTACATGTATTATTCTATCTTCCGTGTTACGAGCTGTCAATTATACTTCGCAAAGTCAGGTTAGTTGGTGGTAGATTTGTGTCTGTTCACGCTTTGCACGTGTTGCTGCGCACACAGTTTATCTAGCTAAATTGGTGTCAGTAGAGAGTGTTGGGAGATGTAACTTTCAATATAAACTACTACAATAAATACCTAATATGTTATGTAAAAACATTCATGGCGACATTCACGTTATCTCTAGTATCACATTTGGGCCAGTTGACTAATAACAAACTGAGTCAAGATTCAGTAAATTTTGCAAGAAATAAATAATAGTTCTGTCTTGCTCAAAAAATAAAATAAAATTAAAAATCTCTATAATATTATTTGAGAAGTCAGTTTCCTACGTGTCGTGTTCACGTTAACTTTCGCGATGGTTGATTACATAGATATCCTTAATGAATTGTTAGATTTTAAGATTATTTTTTATTTAATTATTTTTTACTTTTTTCCCAATAACATATATAATAAAAAGGAAATATTTCTAAAATTTTAAAACGAAAATATATGTATATAATATGACTTTATTAAAAAGGAAAGTTCACAAAATAATAATACCCCCATAAAATATAAATGTTCAAAATAATAAAAATATATATGTTCATGAACATCCAAAATTTTATCACTTACACTTTATTTTCTAACATTTTTTAGAAATCAACATATAATTGATAAATATTATGAAAATACATGTATATTTAAGCGATAAATAAAACTAATTTGATTTGAATTAACTAAAATAAAGAGTAAATAAATATTATGAAAATACATGTATATTTAAGCGATAAATAAAACTAATTTGATTTGACTTAACTAAAATAAAAAGTAACTTTACTTCAATTGTAATTTAAAAATATATTTAACTTAATGTACTCACAAAATGAATGACTCAAGAACATATAATTTTATAATAATAATAATAATAATAATAATAATAATAATAATAATAATAATAATAATAATAATAATCTATTTAATTTTATACATATAAATTAGAAGTTGACTCAAAGCATATTAAAAAGAAAAACAAAATATTAACCAATTACAATTTAATTCTTTTTAGAATTTATTAAAATTTATTCTTTTTATCAAATTACAATTTGATTATCTTGTAGAATTATATGTATGCATGAGACTTCAAAATATTATCATTATATTCATTTATGTAATTTTGAATCAAACAATTTAGCTTATTATTTCTTTTCATTTTAAGCACAGTATATTACGTTATACATAATTTAACCATACAACATTTACATATCTAAGAATATATTTACATATCTAAAGACAATAACCAACCGAAATAAAAATAAGAAAATTAATAAAAATTTTACTATATTTAGAATAAAAAAATATTATAGCTGAATTCGAAAAAAAAATATCATCCAATATACCAAATTGATAACCAAGCCGACTATTGATCCAAAATATATAATTAAACTGAAATAATATATCCAAAGTCATATTTATAATTAGAATAATATAATATTAATTAATATAAATTATACATATAAATTGATTTAAAACTAAAACTAAATATCAATTTTATCATAAAATTTTACTTTTATGAATATTCATATCCGTGCATAAATACAGGAAAATCACCTAGTAATAAGTAATAGTTCTGTCTTTTGAGTTTCTTTTGTTATATGCATGGGCTGCATCTTAACAAATATTGCGCCGCCATTGGCTAAACGGGACTGAGTTTTCTATTTCATATATTATCCAACCGTAGAGTTGTTCAAACCGTACCAAGATAACCTACCAGAAAACTGCAGTAATTTTAATACCAGGCTTGGCGACATTCATTTTATTCTATATAATTTAGGTTTATTAGTAGATCCTCTAATACGTTTTAGCAATGAGGGCTGTGCAGTCTAACATTCATAGAGTTTTGTTCCATTGCTGTCCCAGTTTCTTAATCTCTGATGTAATGTCTGACCAATTTTTTTTTTTTGAAACACGTAATGTCTGACCAAACTAATGAAAGTAGACACTAAAATACCCGGAGGGAAACTTTCTTGAATGTGCCATTTATATACACTGCAAACAAAGTAGTTTAAGTAAGATACCTTATTGACCATCTCGAGTTTCCGATTCCGCCGAAATATCCATCACAGAATTAACGCCTAGACTCGGAAGAGACTGAAAAATCGAGCCGTCATTTAGGGCCAAACGACCAACAACGTTTATTCTGCAGACAGGACAAACGGAATTACATTTAAGCCACTTGTCGACGTGAAAGCAGTGTTTACATGTCGGCAAAACCCTGGCTTTGTCTCCGTCGACTAGGTTGGAGAGGCAAACAACGCACTCGACAACGTCTTTGAAGTTACAAGAGTTGAACTTCACCACGTTGGATGACTTGTATTTAGCTCATGAAATCCACGAGGGGGTTGAGTCGGGTGATTATTGTTGTCCCTACGTGACGCCATACAGCATATACACAAAACCAGTATACAAGCAAACGTAACTAGAGTCGCCACGAGTAAGGCAATTTCTTGATCTTCGTTCATCTTCGAAAACGTACGTTTTGATTGATCAATCTCTCAACAAACCCTAAGGGAAGTTGTCTCTTTAATATTCACGCCTATATATGATTACTTAAATAATAATTTCTTAGATAAAATCGAATACATAGATATTAATTTTTTTTTGTTATTTTTGTTTTAAGAATCATTATTTTCTCTTTTAAGTATATCCACGATAATCTCTTTTTTTTTCTTAGTTAGCAAGTTAAAACACAATATTGAATCAATGAGTACGATTTATTTGAATATATTTTAAATTTAAGAAGATTTTGAGAATCAACAAAAATTTTAGTAGAAATCCACGTCTAAAGGGTGTATATTTTAAGGATCTTTATAATGAAAGTATATATATAGAACAGCAAGAACAATAAAGAACATCATGATAAGGAAAAAAAAAAAAAAGAGAAAATTTGATGTTTAGTTTCATCAGTTTGTATAAGAATGTCTGCTACAACGGCTGTCAAATCTCGGATCGTGATTTTCGGCCAAACCCTCAGTTGCTACCAAGTTCCGGTCCTGCTCCTCCCTGCACCAAACCAACTATCTTTCTACAGACAGGACATGTGGTGTGAGATTGAAACCACGACTCGATGCAATCAGCATGAAACCAATGATTACAACTAGGCAAAACCCTAGCTTTGTCTCCATCAGCAAGCTCTGAGAGACAGACTACACATTGGATGCCGTCTTTGAAGTCTTGAGAGTTAAAGTCTACGATGGAAATTGATCGAAGTATAGATGGATTGATACCGGTCGATTCATCGATGGTAACAGTTACATGTTCATTGCTCCTTCCATAGTCATGATTGTCATCAATATCATTATTGGAACATTTAATAATACACATCACCACCAAACTTAAAATTCCAAAAGAAATTGCGGCGAATGCGAGAACTACTCCGAGATGGATTAGATAGCTCATCTTCCAAACCCCTAAAGAAGATCAAATCTCTCGGTTTAATTGAAAGTAAGTGAGAAGAAACATTTTTGTACCGTAGAGAAAAGTTTTTATATTTTATATACCAGATTGTTAATGCTTTTATAAATTTTCTATATTTTTTGATATTTTCTTTTTTCTTTTCTATAGATGTTTAACTAGGTTTTTTGTCCACTCGTACGAACATAATAATTTTATAAATATTTTAAAGTAAATATATTATCAATTGAAATATAATTAAAAGAAATTAATATTCATACACAAAATATTTAATAAAAATTAACAAGAAACTCTTTTGTATAAAAGTTCTTATTGTAACATAAGTTTTTTTTATCACTTAACATAAACTTAATTTTAATATTTAGTAATAAATTATATATAAATATTTACATATGAAAAAATTTATCAATATAATAAAATTATCCTTTATTACGTAAAATAAATCTGAACACATTAATGTATGCATTAACATTATATACACTATATAGAGATTTTTATTTTATAATTTAAAACTTAAAATAATCTAATGTAAAATATTTTTTTGAATAACACAAAATACTATTTTATATTATTGTTAGTTAATAAAAACTTTTTTTCTGATAATGATAATTTATTTTTAGCTAAAGTTAATTATATATCAATTTGTTTTAATTTATAGTTAGTTATATATTAACAAATCTTATAAAAATATTACAAATATATAAATTTACCTAAAATAATGCAAAATAACAATTAAGCAAATTTCTTTTTCAAATAGAAATAATAGTATAGATTACAAATTTACAAATTAGTAATTGCTCCTAATAAGGCATTATTCCATAGGAATTCCCTCGTGATTATAAGTGATAATTTTGTATCAATTAAGCAAATTTCTTTTTCAAATAGAAATAATAGTATAGATTACAAATTTACAAATTAGTAATTGCTCCTAATAAGGCATTATTCCATAGGAATTCCCTCGTGATTATAAGTGATAATTTTGTATCATTTCCATATTTTGGTTACTAGCTATAATATTTCCTTCTTTTTTTAAGCAGCTTAAATTTTTAAAACTAACCTTCAAATTTGCTTTTCTTAGAAAAAAGTGTTGCATGGACAACATGACCTTGGCATATTGATTTCAGTAACTATTATATTATGATACTATAATATGGGTTCAATATGTGTTTCCTTTTCGTACATATATAGCTAATAAGTTACAAAAAAAAAAGAGCTGATGACAAGTTTTTTTTTTTTTAAAAGAAACCATGAAGCATCAGTTATCACCGGGCAGAGGAGGAGGCATCATCGTCGCCAGAGGATTCTCTTTGCGAGCCTTCAACTTTTTTCTCGGTTTCTCTTCTTCTCTGTTCTTTGTCTTCTTTCCCTTTATTAATCCTCTCCCTAATCTCTTCCTCCTTTACACAAAACAAAATTTCAAAAGAAAAATGTCATTTTAATAACAAGGAAAAGGTTGTAATCTCAGTTAATTAGTAGCTACATATATATTATTATAATTACATTGTCAAGTGATTTAGCGTCGGGAGTCCTGGAACCATGAACACCCGATCGGTTCGAGGCTTTTCCAACCATCGTCCTCACGCCGTAGTACATACCTTCACACTTTCCAGCGGTTCTTACAGATCCCAACCACTTCCCGATCATCATTTTTTCTAGTTCGATCCTCACCTTTCCCAAGCTTCACCTTGTATATGGTTTTGGTTCTTAATGTGAGGTGTGCATTACTATTGTCGACTGCATAACACGTGTCAGTAAAATGTCCACGTGACGTCTAATGTGGAGCACCACGTGACTGACACTTGTGTTCCCAGTCGGTTTACTAAACTGTTCCGGTCAATCTCGGTCGATTGCATTCGATGCCGGTTAAGGAAAAGCGAAAACGCTAGGCTTTGATTGGTAATCTTGTGGAATCGCGTTTTAACGCGATTCCGCAAAAAATTTACCAACTAATAAAATATTGCGGAATAAAAAAAATGCAAAAGGTTATTAATGGAAAAGTAAGCTTTAATAGATTATGGTGGAAAGATTTACAAATTAACACTTTTATATTATTAAATTATATGTTAATACTATCTTAAAATCTAAAATACATATTAAGAATTTTTAATGATAAATAATTATGTTGTAAATAAAATTCTATTATAATTGTATATTATAAAATGTTAATCTATTGTTAAAATGGATTGAAAGATAAGCTAGATATTTATAATAAAAACTAAACTGTTTTTAATAAATTTTAGTTGTTTTCACATTTGTAATAATTAGTTTAATTATTGCTATTTGTTTTTATAACAAATTAAATACCTGAGAAAATATTTTAATTAATTTAGTATATATTTTACTATTTTGTAAATTTTAAAATTTTCCACGATTTAATTAATTTTTTCCGCAGCTTAACTATTATTTCCGCGATTTCGCGATTAAGCGATGATTACCAATAAGAACCTTAAAACCGTTTATTTTTACCCTTTTATATGAACATTGGATTTTATTAATCATAAAGAGTTTACATAATAATCTGGACCTATTGAAAAATTACAGAAACATCATTCCGAAACTATCTCCAACCCACTTCTATTTTCATCACTATATTTTCTTCTAAAATAGAAAATCTTTATTATAGAGGTAAATTTACTCTAGTGTATACCTCTATAATAAAATACCTCTATTTATAGGAGAAAATATAGAAATATGTTATATTTACCTCTAAATAAAAGGCAAAAAATAATATTTTCTATATTTTTTCTAAAATATAGGAACTCTATTATAAAGGTATATATTAAATCAAATACACTTCTAATAGAGATTTCTATTTTAGGGGAAAATGTAGAAATATACATTGGAGATGTTCTGATACCTAAAAAAGGTAAAAAAGTTCATTGTTTCCATTTATTAACACGATTTTTTTCAAAAAAGAATAATAATAATACAAATGGAAAAAGACCGTATTAGCTCGGAACTCACAAAAGGACATGGTTTTTGTTCATGTTGTCGGAATCTTAAAAGGCTACACTTGGGAACACATTACAAGGAAACATGAAAATTTTACAATGCGTAAAGGTTGTTGTTGTTGTTATTCCCTCAGCTTTATGAAAATGAAAAAGAAGAAAACTTTGGTTTTGTTTGATTGTGTCTCTCTTATCACTTGGTTCTCCTCCAACTCAGAATAATAGGGTAAATCTTTTGTTTGTTGTTTTTTAGTCACTCAGGTAAAGAATTTACATGTAATCATTAACTCCGGAGCTACCAGAGCCAGCTCCGACAGTTCTCTTGCTCATGTTGGCTCTCTGCACCAACACAACCAACGCTTGCACCACTTCAGACATCGGTGGTCTGAACTCTGGCTCCGGCTGTTACAGAATATTACAAAACAACATTAACATTTTCATTCTGCATACACATTTATATGTATCTATGTACATTACCTGAACGCAGAGTGCGATAACATCTGCAAAACGAGAGAGAGATTTAACAGGGTAAAGCCCTTTGAGAGCAGGATCAACCATTTTGCTCAATGCATCAATGTCATGAAGCTGAGGTGTTGCCCATCTCACCAATGACTGCTCAGATCTTGACCTTGTACTGTAATCACCAAAATGACTTACTAGTTCATAACACATTGCACTCTTTAAGACAAATGATAAGTCCAACGGTTATATTGAATAGTAATAGTACCTGTCGAATGGTTTTCTTCCGGTTAAAAGTTCAAGCATCACTACACCAAAACTGTAAACATCGCTCTGCAAAGAGTATTGGCCTGACATTGAAACTTCTGGTGCGCTGTATCCTTCATCGTTTTGGTTCAATAGCTGCACATAGTATCAGAATGATAAGTACTATAGAAACAACAGAGAGAGACTAGAGGAAAAATGACACTGTTGGAGGTTACTGTACATACCTCATTTGCAGTAGGGAGGAAGCTAGCGAGACCAGAGTCAGAGAGGTGTGGATTCAGCTCAGAATCTAGTAAAATATTTGCTGATTTGATGTTCTTATGAACTATAGACGGTGAACAAACTTCATGCAAGTACCTGCAAAGCCAAACAACATTTTCCATGAGCCATTTAATGAGTAACTGATGTGGTTTCAGATGTTTAAAAGACTTACTCCAATGCACGTGCAGTGCCAAGAGCGATCTTGACACGAGGATTCCATATCAAAGGTTTGCTTTCATCTTCCGAAAGATGTAAAAAGTCATGCAACGAGCCGTTTCTATGGAACTCATAGATCACTAAATGTTGTCCATGTTCAGAACAGTAACCATCAAGCTTTGTGACGTTTTCATGATCCAAATGCGCAATTTTGGATACAATCTCGGTAAAATCATCAGCCGTGTCAGTGGGAAGCGCAGACGAGTCTATCTTCTTCACAGCAAGTACCTACCAGATCAACACAATCTCTCAGCAGCAGAACATTAATGAAGCTATGTATATGTTTCTATAAAGTTTAATACCTTTCCATCATCAAACTGAGCTCTGTACACTCTCCCAAAAGTCCCTTCACCGAGAAGATTATCAACGCTGAAACTATTGGTAGCTATTTGAAGATCTGCAACAGTATATACATTCACATTTGAAGGGACCACGACTGCATGTTTCTTTGCAACAATAGGCTTTCTCGGTGTTGAATCATCTTCATCAAAAGACTTGTGTCTCTCAGATGGTGGAGGACGTAGATTCATTGACAATGAATTGTCCAGCTTCTTTGTCTCAACTACAGGTGGTGTTTGCATATACTTATTCTCTGTAACCAACATGAATACAAAGTTAGAAAAAAAAACCATAAGAACATTTGAATGTGGAAAACAAATTCTTTTTAATTAGTGGTACCTTGATAAATGTCATTTGAAGTGAGTGAGAAGGGTTGGTTAACGTTATCAGCATTTTCAATGTCAGTGGAAGACGATGTCCGCTTTGATCTTTTTCTCTTGATCAAGAAGAAAGCTATGACTGCTGTAACAACTAACAATGAAATGACTATTCCTGCTATTCCACCAGCTCCAAGCCCTGAGCTCTTGGAGTCACTGCTACTACTGGAATCACCATGTGATGGGGATGATCCACGGTTACCGGATTTAGGAGTAGGTGATTTATGGATAGGAGGAGGTGTGCCGGGAGGTGGTGGAGGTGCAGGCCCGGTATTGAATGAGTTACCATCTTTTCTGTTTCCAAAGATCATTCATGAGAACATTTAGTGAGATAAGTAAAAGAAGTTTCAAAGAAACTGATGAAAAAACTTACTGCAGGTGAATGCCTTTCAAAGAAGCAGGGATCCAGCCTGTGAAACGATTGTTTTCAATGTTCCTGAGGAAACATTCAGCAAGAACATAACATCAAGTGATGTTTAATGTGATAAACTTGTAGACAAAGATAAAGCTTAAGTTACCCACAAGTTTTCGAGGGAAAGTGTGGCTAGTACATCAATGGTGCCTGTGAACTGATTGTTCTGTAGATAACTGTGAAGTTCATTCATGAACATAAATGTTAGTATCAACTGATTCGCTTAAGTAAAGTTCTTATAACGCATGGAGGCTACTTACATCGACCTTGCACTCGTAAGGGAGCTCATTGAGTTCGGAAGAGAACCTGTGATAGTATTGGAAGAGAGGTCCCTGAAAACACAAACATGAATTTTGTTCATTAAGTAATCAATATCCTACCTAGTTTAACTTAGGAAAAGAGAGAAGAGGATCTTACAAGATAGAGAGAGAGGTGAGTTTTGTGAAGTCAATAGCTAGTTGCTTGAGCTGGTTGTGAGCAAGGTTGCTGTGCAAAACCAATGCAACATTCAACAACCAAACTTTTATCCAAGAGATGTCTGAAGATAGATAATAAAACTAAACTAAGAAACTTACAGGTACTTGAGAGATGTCATTAGAGAAATGGAATACTGAGCAGACCCAGTGAACTGGTTATTAGCAAGATTCCTAAAACAAATTCAGAAACTTCATCAAACATGGGGACCCCACATAGAAAACTTGTATGTAGAGAGAATCTATCAAACATACAATCTCTCCAGATTTGGAGGAAGCTGATAAGGTAAATCCCCTCCAAGATTATTGCTGCTTACATCACTGCAGGTTTCCACCAAAACAACCCTTGAGATTATAAGCTATGCCAATAAAGAAAAATAATCATAGAAGATGAGTTCTTACAACTCAGTAACAGAAGTCAATATATCAAGCTTGAATCCTAGCGTTCCAGAAAGTCCAAGACCTGATAACTTTCTGCAAGTAGATAAAAAAAACAAAGATATTAAATTAAACATAGAAAAACAAGATAGAATACAGTGATCAATGATAAAAAAAAAGAAAGATAATAATTACATTTGAGTAACTCGTGAGCCAGAACACGTGATGCCTTTCCAGTTTTGTCCACAAGGATCACCTCCTGATGCTGTCCATTGTGATAGCTGTCCTGGTGAATTCATGGAACTGAACATGTTGTTCAACGCCGAAGCTGCACATATTGTGAAACAGAGACCATGAGTTAACTATTCAGACCGTCAAACTTTTTGTCGGTTCCGTGAAGCAGATCATTGGGTTTTATGAACTAAACAGAAAGTTTTGAGCTTTGAGGATAAAGAAACAAAAACTTCAACATAAAACCAAGAATCAACGATCAAAGTTACACAAATAAAGGATTAAA